AGCTTCATGCTCACTACCAGGGCTGGCCTGTGTGGAACTCTCTTCCCCAACTCTGCTGTCCTAAGGCATGGTGTATTAGGCGTGTGCTTCCCTAGGCTTGAGTGAGACCATTAAAAATAAAAAAAAAAAAAATAAAATAAAAAAGGAAATATTTATTAAATTTTTTTATTTGGTGGGGTTGGGTTTTTTGGGGTTTAGTTTTTTGGGGTTTTTTTTTTTTTTTTTTGGTTTTTTTTTTATGGTTTTGAGGTAATAGTTTTTTGTAGTTAATATGTAGAGTAGGAAATAGAGAATGAATGGTGAATTGTGGATGTTGGAGTATGGTTTTTAGATGAGGAATAGGGGGGTTGGTTTGGATGAATGTGTTTTTGTTATGTGTGGGTTAATGTGTTGATGGTTGGGTTAGTGTTTTATGTGTTGTATGAATTGGGGGAGGAATGGTGTGGGGAAAAGGGATAAATTTTGAAGGGTTGAATGTGCAATTGATAGTTAAAGTAAGATGTTATTAAATAAGATGAATAATGAAAAATAGGTATATTGTGATTTGGATTATTATGATTATAATTTATAATCATGAAATGGAGATAATGATTGTCGGTGGAAAAGAGACAACACAATAAATAAATTAAGAAAATTATGTGAAAACTGCCACTATAAGTGCTCATATTCTCAAAGACAGAATAGGGATGACCCCAAACTGGCCAGTTCCTCATTGTTCCTATCATGTACTTCTGGAATGTCTTTTCTTTCCAGTTTATCTAACTAATTTCTTTGAACCTCTTGATATTTAATATTATGTCTTGGGGCAGATGTAAAACCTCTGAAAGTTTCTTTGAATCCTTCTCTCATTCATTTAACATACTACCACCACCACAGTGACTACCACCATCTCTGTCATCATCACTGTTGCCACTACCGCTGCCACCACCACCACCACCACCACTGCCACCACCACCACCACCAACATGACCACCATGACCACCACCAGGACAACCATGACCACTACACCACTATAACCACTACTGCCACCACCATGACCACCATGACTGCCACCACCTTGACTACCACCACCTCTGTCATCACCACACTGCCACCACTGCCTCTGCTCAGCACAGAGCCTTTAAAGCACATTTCCCTCACCCAAAACACTCCAAAGCCAGAAGATGCTATAGGGAGCTGCCATCTTACCAACACTAGTGCATACTCATGTCTAAGACACTTTGGAATTCCAGCTAACTACGTAAACACCAATATGGTGCCCGGATCTTGTAAGTGGTGAAGTGTATCTGGAAAGATGACCAATTCTTTAAAACGTTATCCTATGAAGTACCTCTAACTTTTAATATTTTTTTAGAGATAAGTGATGAGGATTGGTCTAAATATCATCATTTTCAATAAAGTAATACTTTCAGCAAGGCATCCTATAACATCTAAATTTAAGAATTACTGCTATGTAATTTACATAATTACTAGAATATAGTAACATATAATTTACTGTTCTTTTCATTATTTTGCTCAATTTTTTTTACCTTTGTTCTAAAATTGTTTTCTATAAACTCTGAAAGTTGTTCTATCATAATTTGTTTCATTTTATGACGCTTTGAATCTCCAGGAGAAAGCCATTTTTATGAAAGTGTTTTTGCAATACTACATTGATGAGTTACTCTATCATGTTTATTTGCCAATAGTTATGCCTATACTTACCGTAATTTACTTACTTATATCTTCAATAACTCAGGTCACTGTCAGAACACATAATTAGTCAAGATATGAGGTAGAGCAAAAACAGGGGTTTTGCACACAAGGATACAGAGCTGAATCAGTCATTACTTTCTCTTCTAGCTGCGTAGACAGAACTGAGGTTTGTACTGAGGTTTGTACTGAGAAGCCATGAATGCTGGTCTTTGCTTAGCCATTAATCCCCTGAGGTCAAAACCACCAACTTCCCTGGCCCTTAGTTTTCTCCCCACTGGAAAACTGGAGCATGATCATACTGGTTCTCTGCTCTGTAATGCAGGTCATAGGAAGATGAAATGATAAAAGGCTTTATTACTAGTACATCCATGTGCCAGTTGTTATCATTTCATGGCATGTAAAGGCTGTGCATGGGACCATGATCCCTAATGCTGTAGTGGCATTCCTTTCCTTTGACAGATGTCATCTGAACAGATAGCAGTGCACTGGAGGGATCCTTTCTCTCTTTGCTGGAATTGCACCTTGGAAATAAGTGTCTTCTTAAATTTCGTTTGTTATATGCCTGCCTTGCTTCACCCTAGCCATGGCCCTGGCACCCTGGGAGAGATGCTTACAAAGCTTGCAGATACAGAATAAGCCACTGGAATTGTTTCCTGGCCTATCATGCTCTGGTTATTGAAGCTCCATCACAGAGGAGTTGGCCTTCTGCATTCCTCCTGCATCCCTCTGCATTGAGCTAACATGGGCCTAGAAGTCATTAGATTTTAACTTGTGGCTGCCCACTGACTAAATCTTCCCCTCTGCAAACTTCATATGTATGCATACATGTCAGAAAAAAAAATCATAAGAGCAGCTGTGAAGCTGTATTGTAGATTCTCCTTTGTTCTTTGGTGGTTTTTTTGTTTTGTTTTGTTTTGTTTTGTTTTGTTTTGTTTTGTTTTGTTTGAGAGAGAGAGCACTTGAGCAGGCAGGAGTGGGAGGGAGGGGCAGAAGTAGTGGGAGAGAGAGAATCTTAAGCAGACTCCATGCCCAGCATGGAGCCCATTGAGGGGCTTGATTTCAGAATCTTGAGATCATGACCTGAGCTGAAATCCAGAGTTGGAGGCTTAACCAACTGAACCACCCAGGTGCCCCTGTAGACTCTCTTTTGAATCTTGGACCTGGGGTTGATGTATCTCACCAAATTTGGGGAATTTGGGGCACTGGTATTCTGAATATATTTTCTACCCCATTCTTTTTTTCCTCTCCTTTAGCAATTCCAAAAGCAATATATAGTAGACCATTTGATATTGCCCCAAAGGTCGCTGAGACTCTATTCATTTTCTTTGATTACTTTCTCCCTATACTTCATTTGAATAATTCCTATTGACATGTCTTCAAGTTGACTCTATGGTATTCAGCAGTTCCAGTCTGCTGTTAGATCATCCCAGGGATATTTTGATTTCTGATAACTCTCAACCTGGGCTTACTTGCAAGTCATGACCCTTTAGGTTTTCAATAAAAAGATGTAGGACTTTATTGAGCCCCTCCTACCTGTCAGGAACTGAACTTCAAACTAGTACAGCCGTTTATCCCTAAAATTCTAGCTAAAACTTTCAGCTGGGTTCCCTGTGGTCTTGCCATTAGCATTTTCTCTTTAGGGGTCAGCCAGAAACTTGAGGAAATTTATACGCACATTTTTTAGTTTCTCCCTATAGCTCTCTCTTTTCTGGGAAGTATCTCCTCAATTCCCAGCTGTTTTGGCAGCCCTGAAATCTACACTTAGTCTTTTCAGCTAATAGGGCCACCACTTTATATTTTAACTCTACTGAGCTATGTGCCATGTGTTCCTGAGGACTGGAAGTGCCCTCAGAGGAAAAGCCTAATAAATTAGAGCTAACCCGGTTTCCATCCCTTCTTTTGTGACTCCTGCTCCCTTCAATTCCTGCCTGCCTAAAGGTTGTTTACTAGTGCCTTCAAGCAATAGCATTAAAAAATGTTCTTTTGGGCAGCTCAGGTGGCTCAGTGATTTAGTGCCACCTTTGGCCCAGGGCGTGATCCTGGAGACTCAGGATCGAGTCCCACATCCGGCTCCCTGCATGGAGCCTGCTTCTCCCTGTGCCTCTGCCTCTCTCTGTGTCTCTCATGAATAAATAAACAAAATCTTAAAACAAATTTTTTTTTGTCCAGGGCTAGTAATAGTTATCAACAGGTAAGTAGGTCCAATACAAGATACTGTCATTTCTAGAATTAAAACCCCACCTTCCATAGCATTTTATTTATTTTTTAAAGTCTTTTTAAGACTTCATTTATTTATTCATGAGAGACACAGAGAGAGAGGCAGAGACTTAGGTAGAGGGAGAAGCAGGCTCCCCATGGGGAGCCTGATGCGGGACTCAATCCCAGACCTCAGGATCACAATCTGAGCTGAAGGCAGATGCTCAACCACTGAGCCACTCAGGAGCCTCAGAGATTTATTTATTTATTTGAGAGAAAGAGAAGCTGAGTGGGGAGAGGGGCAGAAGGAAAGGGAGAGAGAATCCTCAAGCAGACTCCCTACTGAGTAGAGAGCCTGACACAGGCTGGATCCCAGGACCCTAAAATCCTGCCCTGAGCTGAAACCAAGAGCCAGATGACTTAACGGACTGAGCCACCCAAGAGGCCCTCCATAGCATTTTAAAGGAGCTTCTTTTCCTCTGACACCTTATTGTAAATAAAATCCTATGCAGGGACAATAGAAATCTTAACTATTTCCTTTCTTTAAAAAAAGTTTTTTATTGTGGTAAGATATACATAACATAAAATTGACCAATTTTACCACTTTAAGTGTGCAATTTAGTGGCATTAAGCATATTCACACTGTTTTACAACCATCACCACCACCTCCAGAAATTTTTCATCTTCCCAAACCAAAAACTTCGTACCCATTAAATAATTATTCCCCACTTCCCCCTGCCGCCAGCCACTAGTAACAACCGTGCTACTTCCTGTCTATGAATTTGACTACTCTAGGTACCCCATACAAGCAGGATCATAACATTATTTGTCCTTTTGTTGAAATGTTCCCTTTTAAAAATGAGTGAACTCTTGACTAAAGATGACTGGTTGTTTGTTTTTTCTAAGATGGCTGTTTAATCCCACATTATTATCTCCATGCCTTTCCAATACCCTACTAAAATAATAGCAAAGGAGGTAAAAAGTACAAATCCACAGCAAGAAATAGGAATTTCAATAGAAATCAAGAAATAAGAAATTTCAGCAGACTTATTGAAGATATAAAATAGAGGATAGACACAAAGAACAAATATCGTATGATTCCCCTTATATGGAGTACCTGGAGTAGGCAAATCATAGACACAGAAGATAGAATGGTGGTTGCCAGGCGCTGGGGGGAGGGGAGACAGGTAGCTATTGTTTAATAGGTAAAGAGTTTCAGTTTGAGTAGATGGAAAAGTTCTGGAGGTGGATGGTGGTGACAGTTGCACAACACTGTGAATGTAGTTAATGCTACTGAACCGTATACTTAAAAATGATGAAAATGTAAAAATTTATTTATGTCTATTTTACCCTACATACACATAAAAATAGAGAATGGAGGTAGCTGGTAAAGCCGAGTACAGGAGGCCAAAGACTGGAATGCACATGGGAGGTGGGGCACCTGGGTGACTCAGTTGGTTAAGCATTTGCCTTTGGCTCAGGTCATCATCTCAGGGGTTCTGGGATTGAGCCCTGTATGGGGCTCTCTGCTCACCAGGGAATCTGCTTCTCCCTCTCCTTCTGCCCCACCTACTACTCATGCTCAAGCGCTTTCTCTCTAATAAATAAATAAAATCTTAAAAAAAAAAAAAAGGAAATGCACACAGGAGGGAAATAGCAGCCAAGTGGGGAGCAAATCATTTCCTTGGACTTCCAAGTGGCTTGTGTCATATAAATATCCAATACAGGGATACCTGGGTGGCTCAGCAGTTAAGCGTCTGCCTTTGGCTTAGGGCATGATCCTGTAGTCCCGGGATCGAGTTCCACATCCAACTCCCTGCATAGAGCCTGCTTCTCCCTCTGCCTATGTCTCTGCCCTCCCCCCTCGTGTGTGTGTGTGTGTGTGTGTGTGTGTGTGTCTAATGAATAAATAAATAAAATCTTTAAAAAAATAAATAAATACCCAATACAACAAAGGGCAGGAGCAAGACAAGGGGCTGAACCTTACCCCTCTCCACCACTCTGAACAAACAGCCATATGATGGCTTGACATGTACCCCACCCTCAAAAAAATGGCAGAGATTCTTCTCTAAAAAAGAATCAAACATCTCTGAACTTCCACAGTCTTGCTTTTAAAGGTTCACCAGTTAAATGTCTAAGAGAGTGCCTTCCCACCAGATCATTCTAAGTGAAGTCCTTCAATCTGTGAGTCTACTGCAAGCACAGAGGCCCCATCACAGAGATGATTTATGATCTGGTTCTCAAATGTGCTCCAGTAGTCACCAGAGTTTGATGAAAGCCTCCAAAATGAAGACTCACTCTAAGATAAGCAAACCAAGAGGCAAGGGGCATCCTCATACCATGGAACTGTCAGTAGAGCAAAGGCTGTCCAGAGTCAGAACAGGCACCACGCAGACATAAGAGGCACATCCTTGCATATAGCCTGAACCTCAGTCCTGCATAAAGGAAATAAAGGCAACTCAGAAATGTCAGGGAACTTTAAAATGTCCTTAAGTACTACCCCAGTGAGATAAACCTTCATTTAACATAGCTAGAAATTAAGATAATGTCTAAAATGGATGAATCAAGAACTGGTGATGTAAGCATATTATTTAGAGAAACCACCAAGAGAAACAGCTGAATGAGTTAAAAGTAGTTGCCTCCAAAGGACCTCGGCGGGGGAGAGGTAGGCTGGGAATAATTGCTGTGCAATATAAGCCCTTCTGCATGATTTGATGGTTTAACCTTATGTATGTATTAGCAGCACTTTGATTTTTTTTTTAATTTTTTTAAAGAAAATGACTGGAAGGTTTCTTTCTTTTTTTTTTTTTTTCTTATGTAGCATTGTTTCATTCTGGAATTTTCCAATTAAGCTTTTGGCTAAACACATACATATGATAATGATAATTATTCAGGAATCGGGAGGTTTGTAAAAACATTGTGTGCCATTAGAGTAATCAAGCTCAGCTCTAACACATCTTGGCTTTTCAGGATAATTAGACCACACTGGAGGCCCAGATGGGGTGAATGAGAAAGCCATGGGTGTCTGCCATATAGTAACAAGAAAACATCACCCAGAACTACTCAACTGGCAATTGAAATTTGCATGTTAACTTAGAACACAACAAGAAATGAATAAAAATGCCTGGATTTGAGGCACAACATTTCACTTTAAAAACCAAACATAGAACATAGGTGTGAGCACGAAGCTCCTACACAACTCCTTTTAAGCTCTCATGTATTAAAATAGAATCTGTAAAACTAGAAGTGGTTCCTTCCATATCTCCTAGTTTTTAAAAATGTCACCTTCTACTGTGAGCATCTTTCTTGAAAATTCACAAAATACAAAAATCATTTGTCTACTAATTCACCCGACAGAGATGTTCTGCATGTCTGCTCAAGGCCCTGTGTTGGTACTAAGAAAGCAGTGGCAAAAAGGCACAGACAGTCCCTGCTCTTAGCACACATTTTCCACACTTAAGTGTAGAAAATGGATATGTAAATAGGCAATTCAATGTGATTAGGTCAATGTTAGCACAGGATAGGAAGGCTGGTTGGAAAAAAAAAAAAAAGGGAAGGCTGGATGGGAGCATGTAGACGGAGCGACTATCTCAGCTGCTCCCTGGACAGTAGTGAGAAGCCCTCTGACTGGAGGGATATCTAGATGAGGAGCTGCAGTGAGAAGGCTCCAGAGGGAGAATCCCAGAGAAGCCTAATGTGGCTTCCAGATCAGAGGACAAAGGCTGGAGGGTAGAGACAATGAAAGAGGACTTTAACTGCCTCCAAATTTTACCTTTTTCATTGGGTTCTTCTTTCCAGCCTGTCTCTAGGTTCAGGTGGAAGACTCTAAGCCAAAGCATCCTTGATGGAAACCAAAACTACCCTCTCAAGCCCTGGGCCTGCAGACCCTGCCCATGATTGACTTGAAGGTAGTGATCCATTTGACCTTCACTGCCTGCCTGCCCCCCCCCACCCCCCGACCTTTGTCTCACATTTTCCTTATAAACCTGGAAATATTTTCTGTACTTTGGAGATAATCTTTGAGACCCTAGTCTGCTGTCTTCCCAGGGTTGGCCTCCGTGAAGGAAATTCCTTTGTTTCCCCACCACCCATCTCGTGCTTTTTTATTTCATCAGTGGCGGGTGGCCAAACCTGGTCCATCTGAGACACCACCGCCCCGACTTGCATGTCAGGTGCTTGTGCACTGCCCCGACCAACCGGCTACAAGAATGGGACACAGTAACGGAGTAAGAGGTAAGACAGGAGAATAAAGCAGGAGGCAGTTCACACAGGGTTTTGTAAACAATAGACCCTAGGTTATTTTAAGGTCATAGAGCCATGAGGAGCCATTGAAGGTTTTTGGGGTAGGGTTTGAGGGCCAGGTCTGGCATCATAAGATTTGCATTTTAGAAAGATTTTCCTTAGATAAATTCATTATAGACTAGTTTCTATTATTTAGCTTACTTTCCAATCACATGCACACACTTCTTACCCATTTTCTGTTGTTTGTTGTTAAGATCATTGGACAGGTATTTGAGTAATGGTAAGATTAATAATATAGCTAGGGGTGTCTGGGTGGCTCATGTGATTAAGCATCTGGCTCTTGATCTTGGCTCAGGTTATGATCTCAGGGCGCTGTGAGATCAAGCCCCACCTTGGGCTCCTCACTGAGCACAGAGTTTGCTTGAGATTCTCTCCCTCTCTCTCCCAACCCTCAAAATAAAATCATTTCTTTAAAAAAATATTAATATGGGGTGCCTGGGTAGCTTAGTCGGTTAAACACCTACCTTCAACTCAGGTCATGATGCCAGGGTCCTGGGATCGAGTCCCACATCGGCTCCCTGCTCAGTGGAAAGTCTGCTTCTCCCTCTCCCTCTGCCTGCAGCTTCTCCTGCTTGTGCTCTGTCAAATAAATAAAATATTTTTTAAATTAATATAACTAATTATAGAGTGCTATTAAGTTTACAAAGCACTTTACCATAGGCACTCTCATGACAGGTACTTAAGAGGCAAAGGATAGACAGAGATTTCCTGGTATCACATTCTTCCACCCTGTGTCCACGGAAGATACTGATAACCAATCGTGGAACAAAGTCCTGTTGGTTTCAGACACATCCTCAGAATTGTCAACACAAATCTGGCAAGTGGTGCCATTTCTTTGAGTTGTCATTTGATGAAAAATTCAATTTGCCATCCTAGAATGGTGTAAACCACATCTATTATAGAATCATACAGATGAGGCTGAAATTCATGATTTCCCACCTTAGTGGTAGACCTAAGCTACTTGACATTCCCTGAGTCTCAGTTTCTTCATTTAAAAATTAAAAGGGCATCACCTGGGTGGCTCAGTTTATTGAGCTGCTGACTCTTGATTTCAGCTCAGGTCTCAATCTCAAGGTGGTGAAATTGAGCCCTGCCTCAGGCTCTGTGCTCAGTGGGGAGTCTGCTTGAGATTCTCTCTTTCCTCTGCCCCTCCCCCCTCTCAATCTCAATAAATAAACCTTTTTTAAAAAAATTAGAAATAAAAACATGTTACTCCGAGCTACTATTAATTAAAAGGCAGCAAACAGGGGCACCCGGGTGGCTCAGGTGGTTAAGCATCTGACTTCAGTTCAGGTCATGATCTCAGGGTCCTGGAATCGATCCCTGTGTTGGGCCTCATGCTCAGCAAGGAGTCTGCTTGTCCCTCTGCCTCTCCCCCTGCTCACACTCTCTCTCACTCTCGCTCTCAAATGAATAGATAAAATCTTTAAAAGATAAAAATAAAAAGAAGCAAACAATGAAATTGTATCATCTGTGTACTTACCTATAGAAATTCAATGATCACACTATGGAGAGAGAAATCACAATTCCACATAACGTGCCTGCATCACAGAACAAACGTGGGACTGGACGTATCATGCATAGCACCATCAATTAGTCTGTTTCGGTGTGTATCTCATAGAATGAGCATCTCACTGCAGGGAGGGTAGTTCTTTGAAGGGAATATAGTTTCCCAAAACAAGACCTTAAATGAAAGCCAACAATGTCAGGTTACTTAACTGAAAGGCTAGCAGTCTATCCCAACTCTAGAGGAAAAACTGACTGGGAGGGCCTTTCTAAGGATAAAATGGACATATCCCTAATGGGTATATACGACCAAAAAAAAAATCTTCCAAATTCCATTTCCAATTAGATCGAAAAGGTCACAGCAGGCAATCACTTCCCTTGTAATAATGGGGGAAAGATGTGTAAAGAAGTAAAATATATTTATTTGTACAAATATCACAAAATAGCCTAAGGGAACTAAATTCTGGAGAAGGCGGACAAGATTTCATAGAGGAGATTAACTGCTCTGGGGGGCATTTGTCACATCTGGGCATGGGCAGGCAAATGATGAGGACTCCCACAGTCAGAGGGCTCTGCTTGGCAAAGAAGAAACCACTAATAACTTTAAACATCTCTATGGACTAAACCAACAGATAAGAATATATGAAAATTCAAAACACAGAACTAGTCTTCCTCTTTGATTAAATGGGTGGCAGGGCAGAAGCCTGGGGCCTGAACGGAAAGACATTATCATCTCCCAATGCTTGGGTCCAGGTCCCACTAGAAGGGGAAGCCTCTAAGACACATTGATCATATCTTGCCCTCAAGGCATTTGAAGCCCAGGTGAACTTGTTATACTGTGATTTATAATAAAAAATATATATAATAAAAATAATATTTGGTTTTTATCCTGTTTCTGGAACAGAGGTCCTAAAACACTTAGAATTTCCGAAGTAATGATAGTGATAAAGGTATCTCGTTTTATGTTAATGAGGTAACTTTTAGGAAGCATCTAAGAGTGGAGGCGGGTTGCCATTGCAGTGGATCTGGTAATTACAGGGTTAGACCTCTCAGTTTCAACCTCCCACCCTCTACCCCCCACTCCCAACCTCCAGGGAGGCAAGAGAGGTTGGAGATTGAATCAATTGCCAATGTCCAATGAGTTAATCAATCATGCCTGTGTAACGAATCTTCCATAATAACCCAAAGGATAGGGTTCTGAGAGTTTCCAGGTTGGTGAAAATGTGGAGATGCAGGGAAGGCAGCATGCCTAGAGAGGGCATGGAAGCACCACGCCCCTTTCCACACACCTTGCCCTATGCATCTTTTCCATCTGGTTGCTCCTAAGTTATATTCTTTTATAAAAAGCCAGAAATCTAGTAAGTAAAATGTTTCTCTGAGTTCTGTGAGCCACTCTAGCAAATGAACTGAACCCAAGAAAGGGGGTTATGGGAACCTCTGATTAATAGCCAGTCGGTCAGAAGTATGGTAACAACCTGGACTTGTGATTGGTTCTGAAGTCCAAGGGGGCTTGGAGATCACTGGAGCCCCCAAAGTATAGCCGGTTGGCCAAAAGCATAGGTGATAACCTGGGCTTGTTATTGGCATCTGGAGGGGAGGGCAGTCTTGTAGAACTGAGACCTCAACCTGTGGGATCTGATGCTATCGCTGGGTAAATAGTGTCGGAATTGAGTTGAACTGTAGGACACCCCAGCTGGTGCCCAAGAATTGCTTGTCTGTATGGGAATCCTTATACACACATTGGAATTTGGATCTTGTGGTTGGGGAGCAATATGGGATTTGGGTTTTTGGAAGGCATGATAACGAAACACGCTGCACGCAGTTCTCAACCATTTTCTAGCACACAAGATAGAGATTCATATATATAGTATAATATGGGCTATCACACTGATAAGGTGCAATTACGCAGGGTTCCTGGTGCCACAGGGTGCAAGAAACCAGGAGTTGCAAGGCATTAAGTAGGAGCAACAAGAGTGGTGATCCATGGGGTATAGCTAGAGGACTACTCTTGGTTTCAGTATTGCACACTCCATTGAGTCCTGGGGCCAGTGATGGGAATGAGGAGCGTGGATAAAGGGCAGGTTTATTTAGGGGAAGAAAGTGTATAAATGCAGATTATTTTTGAACATATTGAGTTGGAAGTGCCTGTGAGACATGCCCCCAAGCAACTGCCTCTGGAAAGTACACAGTTTGTGTGACCTGGAAGTTGGGAGATCCTGAATGAGCATGTAAATTGGGGAATCATCAGCTTTGAGATGGAAAAGGATAAGCTCAGGAAGCATGAGAAAGTAAGTTCCAGACCTGGGAAGGAAAAGAATGAGCATGAATAAAAGCTCAACTCCCTGGCAGGAAGCTGATAGTGAAGAGGTTATCTCATAGCCTTCCTTTGAAGGCATCGTGCACCAGGGCTCAACACAACCTCTAGACTTCTTTCCTGCCTCCCCCTCTCGGTGTTGCCACGCTTCTCATCATTTGTTCACTCAGCTCACCAGACATCCTGTCTGCGCCCTGCCCTCATCTAACTGTTCATCCATACAACAATTTACTGAGAAGCCACCCTGTGCCAGGAGCTATACTAGGTCGGGACCACACAGTGGTGACCAAAACATTCTTATCTCAAAATGTTTACATTCTAGCAAAGGAGACAGACACACACAAATAATATGAGGAAGAGAAATGCTACGAAGAAAACATAAGCAAGCTAAGGGCATATGGTGGTGCAGGCAGGTGTCCTGTTTTAATCCCCAGTAAGGAAAGTCATCTCTGGAGGTCACATTTGAGATCTGAATGAAGAGCGAAAGTTCTGGGTGAAGAAAGGGTGGCTAGAACAGGGTGGTGAAATGAGGTGACGAGGGGTTAAGTCATCTATGTTTTTGTAAGCCTAAGTAAGGAGTCTGGCTTTCACTCTGTGACTAGGGATCACTGGGGAGAGGAGTACTGAGTAGAAGAAAGACATGATCGGACAGATTTTAGCAGGACCCCTCTGGCTGCTGTATGGAGAGTTAACTACTGGGGGCAAGAACAGAGGTAGAAGGACCTTTTAGGAGGCGATTGCAGCAACCCCGGGCAGGGAAGGGCAGGGGACCTGGGGTTTGTTGTAGAGAGGCAGGAGATGGAGATGGTGAGAAGTGATCAGATTCGGGTCATCCATTATCGATGGAGAGGGCAGGATTTGCAATCAGAACAGATGTCGGGGTGAGAGAGAAGTCCAGGATGACTCCAAGGATGAGCAGTTGGATAAATAGCACCAGTTTCCGCGGTGGTGAACCGAGGGGCCGAAGGTTAATTTCAGAGGGAAAAACCGGGAGCCTTGGTTTGGAGACACAAAGTTAATCAGATGCGGATTAAACGTGCAACTAGAGAGAATGAGGGGGTCTACGGCTGATCTGAGTCCAGAGTTCTCCGAATTGATCAAAGCAGCAGACAAATGCCTGGGATTGGTCTGTGCAGGGTGGCATTAAAGAAAGCCACGAGCCCAGATGAGAGCATCCCGAGGTGTTGGACAGAGTCCCAGCTCCAGCAGCTGCGAAGGGGAGAAGGGGGGGGGGGAGGGGGAGGGGGAGGGGGGACGGGCTGGGTAATGGGATGCTGTGATGGAGCCCGGGGAGCTTCCAGAGGGCCACAGTAGCCTCGAACGGGAAAGGACCGGGTCCTAACGGGGCTCGCCAGGAGCTCGGGGGCGGAAGGGCCCCTTTCCAGGCCGAGGGATCCGCATTCGCCGACGCAGGACGCAGGACAAGATGCGACGGGTCTGCAAATGGCGGAGGCCGCGGGGGAGGCCGAGAGCGCCGCGCGCGCCCCCACCGCCGCCCACCGAGTCCCGGCGCCGCCAGGTACGCCGCCTCTCCCTCAGTCGCCGCCTCTCAGGCCGCGCGAGCACGGCGGCCGGGGACTCGACCCGGCGGCGCCGCCGCGGAGACCACCGAGGCCGCCCGGGGAGGCCCCGCCGCCCGCCGCCGGCCTGAGTCTCGCGAGAGCGCGGCCTCGCCTTGCCCAGCATGCCCCGCGCCGCCGCCGCTGCCGCCGCCGCCGCCGCCGCGCCGCGGCTTGAGGGCGGGAGGCTGGGGGAGGGTAGCGGAGCCGGCGCCGCCGCCATGTTGGGTCTGAGGCGGCTGCTGTAGGCGCCGACGGAGCGAGCGGGCTTGCGGAGCGGCGACAGCGGCGCGGGATCTGCCTCTCTGCGAGCGGCCCGGAGCGGCGGCGGCGGCGGCGCCATGAGCGGGGGCACCCCTTACATCGGCAGCAAGATCAGCCTTATCTCCAAGGCGGAGATCCGCTACGAGGGCATCCTCTACACCATCGACACCGAGAACTCCACCGTAGCCCTCGCCAAAGGTACGCCGGGGCGGGCCTCGCGGGGGAGCGGCGCCCGGCTGTCGGCCCGCGGCCTGCTGCCCCCCCGCCCTCCGCCGTCCTCGGGGAGGCCGCTCCCTTCCCTCCGTCCGGGCCCGGGCGTCGCGGGGCCGGGCCGCGGCCTCCCCCCACCCCGCGCTTCCACCCCGGGGACGTCCGCGCCTTCCATCCGGGACCTGGAGCACCGAGAGCCGGGCGGGCGGGGCGGGCGGGGCGGCCCTCAAGTCCGAGCACGGGCCGGAGAACACGGAGAGACGTGTTCTTCCAACTCCGAAATTCGGGGGTTCTGGCGTCTCCCCACACAACAAAGCCCCGAGTATTCAAAGAATTTTTCCGCCCAGCTCGAGTTTAGTTGCTGATTTGTTGATTCCGAGGCACCTATTTTCTCACGTTCTCAATTTCGATTTGTTGGCGGCGTCCCTCGGGTGAAGTGTGTGTGTGGGGGGGGGGGGCGATGTGCCAAAACTTTGGGTCTCGGGGCCCTCGGGCACATCGCGTCCCACTTGTCCCCCTTACGTGGTGTTTACCTGCTAAACCGGAATCCTCCTCAAAGGCCGTTGTGCAACCGCGTCTTTAAAAAAAAAAAAAAAAAATGCTCGCCGGTCTCGCGTGCACCGCGGTGCGCCCGGGGTACCCGGTGCGGAGGCGGGTTCGAGCTTGACCCAGGTTGCACCCTCGTCCCGGAGGCTGCGCCGCGCGGGCCCTGCCGGCGGGTCCCGGGGACGGCGGCGGGTTCGGGGCGTGGAGGACCGAAGGGCCCTGCCCCTAGGATCTCACTGAGCGTCGCCCCGTCTGAGTGGGGTTTTGTTTCCGTTCACACG